TAACAGAGCTGCTGACCGCCACTAACCGTGCCGCTAACAGAGCTGCTGACCGCCACTAACCGTGCCGCTAACAGAGCTGCTGACCGCCACTAACCGTGCAGCTAACAGAGCCGCTGCTAACCGTGCTGCTAAGTGCAGCTAACAGAGCCGCTGACCGCCGCTAACCGTGCAGCTAACAGAGCCGCTGCTAACCGTGCAGCTAACAGAGCCGCCGCTAACCGTGCAGCTAACAGAGCTGCTGACCGCCGCTAACCGTGCAGCTAACAGAGCCGCCACTAACCGTGCCGCAAACAGAGCTGCTGACCGCCACTAACCGTGCAGCTAACAGAGCCGCTGCTAACCGTGCAGCTAACAGAGCTGCTGACCGCCGCTAACAGAGCTGCTAACCGCGCAGCTAACAGCCGCTGCTAACCGTGCAGCTAACAGAGCCACTGACCGCTGCTAACCGTGCAGCTAACAGAGCCGCTGACCGCTGCTAACCGTGCAGCTAACAGAGCTGCTGACCGCAGCTAACATAGCTGCTAACAGAGCCGCTGACCTCCGCTGCTAACCGTCCAGCTAACTGTGCAGCTAACAGAGCTACTGACCACCGCTAACCGTGCAGCTAACAGAGCAGCCGCTAACCGTGCAGCTAACAGAGCTGCTAACAGAGCCGCTGCTAACCGTGCAGTTAACAGAGCTGCTAACCATGCAGCTAACAGAGCTGCTAACAGAGCCGCTGCTAACCGTGCAGTTAACAGAGCTGCTAACCATGCAGCTAACAGAGCTGCTAACAGAGCTGCTGACCTGCCGTCTGCCGCCGACTTGTCGCACTCGATGTCGAACTGCCATCTCTCCAGAACCTCGTTGGTCTCCAGACAGGTGATGACCAGAACCAGCTTCTGCACGGTGCACTGGAACAGCCACTCTGGAACAGACAATCACAGCGTCAGCCACTAAGCCCCGCCCCCCGCGGCGGCTGGAGGACAGCGCTACCTTTGAGCTGAGAAACCACGTCGGCCAGGTAGTTCTGCAGCTTGGGGTCGGTGGTGACCTGGAGGATCATGTCGTAGTGCGTGGCTCTGGAGAAGGTCTCTGGAGGGTAGATGCCGCGCTGGTAGAGGATGCTGTTGATGCCGAACGCTGCGGAGAAACCAGACCTGGATCAGTCAGAGCAGCTTCACACGTCACCATGGTAACGGTGATTTTTATCGACATTAAATTTCTCCTCTGTACTTTAAGGTGATAATTAGACATTAGAAGAAACAGAAACGGAACTTTATTGATCTGAAACCTCAGAAATATCTCTGCATCTAACCCCTCCCCCTGGGGGGCAGTGGGCTGCCATGGTGCGGCGCCCTGGGAGCAGCGAGGGGTTAAGGGTCTTGCTCAGGGACCCAGAGTGGCAGTCTGTGGGGATCGAACCACTAGGCCGCCACTCCCATTAAAACCATTAAAGAATTGATGTTTTCTGTTCCTGCAGCAGGGGGCGCTGTGCAGCTAGCAGCAGATCCTCACATTATAGAAGAAGAAAAGACAATCATTAAAGTGATGGACTCATGAGAAGCTGAGGAGAAACATCTAGAAGCTCAGACTTAGAGCAACACAAAATAGAAATAATCTCAACATTGATTTTTAGAAAAATCTTCATCAGCCGCTAATAAACCATCATTAATCAGCATCATCATCGCAGCCGCATGGCAGCATCATGCTGTGGGCCTGGTTCTCTGAACAGAACCAGAACCAGTCGGTCCAACAGCACACTGGTCCCAGCAGGACGTCCAGACTGGTTCTACTGGTTCTGGTCCAACCTCCAGCCCAGGAGCGGCTGATCCACATGGACTTAGAAAACGTTCAGCTGCTCCAGTAGCGCTCGCCTTTCTCACCAGCGTAGCCCGGGCGGGCGGTGCTCCACATGGGCGCTGAAACATTTAAATTTCTGCCAAGCATTTAAAACCATCGAAGCTCTGAGAGCGAGCAGCCTGGTTCCGCTGCTGCCCGGCGAACAGGCCCAGCTGCATTAGCAGCATTAGCACCGTTAGCAGCTTTAGCACCGTTAGCATAGCGGGTCTGTGGAAGCTAACCGAGCTGCTAGCGCCGAACTAAAGCCGAACCTTACAGAAAAACTCGGCCACCAGCTCCGCGCTGCCTTTCAGAGTGATTCCCTTCAGGGTGCTGGTCATGGTTCCGATCGGTTCTGCTCTACTGGACCGAACCGCCGCTTCTCTCTGCGCTGGAAGCTCCGCTACCCGCCGAACAGTTTGAAAATGTCAGCTGCGCTCATGCGCATGCGCAAAGCCCCGCTCCGTCCAGCTTGTGTTTGCTCGTCCCTGACGCTAGAGGGCGGCGTTTCACCGGCTGAGAGAAGGAAAGCCGCTGGTTCCTAAACATCCATCCATCTCCAGCTGTCAATGGTTCCACCCTGGACAAGTCGGTTCCTAAACAATGAGCTAATAATTATTAATACACATCTGTCCTTAATAAACTCAATATTAATGAAATTATCAGAGAATAAATATTAATGATATCAGAGAATAAATAACTCATTGATTTCTACAGGAAGCCTCAGCAGACTCCTTCCTCCCAGCAGAGGATCCTCCTGATGAGGGTTTATTGCTCCGCCTGTTTCTCAGCAGGAGGTAATGAATGTTTTTAATCTAATCCAGCTGATTCCTTTCAGTCTCATGCTGCCTTCATCGTAATGAAAAACTGAGCATGAACAGCTGAGATGATCCTAACTTTAACCTCTCTACATGGTGTGGTGGTCAGAAGCAGAACTGCATCGTTAAGCATTTGTCGCCTTTACAATGCTGTAAATAAAGATTAATGAAATATATCACCGTGTCATCAGTTCATTTTAGATTCCTTCACTAAATGAGGTTTCAGATTTTATTTTCCTTCATCCATGAAGAGCCTGTATAAAAACAGTGAGTGAAGTGAAGTGGGTGGAACCTGTTCTAGATCTGATCTCTTAGGAAGCCACGCCCAGTTCCTCCAAACCTTTTCCTACTGGTTCCTCAGCTTTCCCATTAAACCCAGTAATATTCAAGGAAGTCCTCTCCTGGATAAAATACTCAGCTAAAAATCAGGCCTCTGGAATCATTTCTCTGGAGCTTCTGGATTAAGGAGACCAGATTCCTGAAATCCA